ATCTGTCATCCGTAAAGACCAAATCCGGTGATTTGATCCATCTAGTTTGTCAATCACCATTCCAGAAACACCCAATGGTAAACCACTCTGTTCACTCATGTTTGCTTTGAAGAAAAACTTTTCTTTCTTTGGATAAAAAACGGTGTTGAAATAATGGTAGATTGATTTCGATGATGATGGATTAATCGGTGCCTTTCTCAATGGCTCATAACCTGATGGTGGTAGAAAGAAGTGTTTGCTTGTGTACACGGATTGGAGGAGAGGGGAGAAGAGGTTCAATACTCTAACAAACAGCTAACCAATAGTCCATCTATATAGACAACATCACTGTTGGGGTAGTGCCCCACATAACCACTCCATCTGGGGTGTAACCCCATACAGACACACTCCATGACTATCACACAGCCACCCATACATCTACATGCTCCGACATCTCCGTCCTTTTCCCATAGCAGGGTTATACTACCATCAGAACCCAATTTGGAAACCCAAAGTACCCATTGTAGAAAGACAGGAGCTGTCTAGCCATCAGATGTTTTGGCCCTGACCTTGACTGTTCCATAGCCACATGATTCCATTACCGAATTATTGCCTAACTTAAAGCTACCTTGTAAAGGTTGAAAGTTTATAAGAAGGTCTAGGTTCGAAGTCATATGTAAGCTTGCATCTGTATCAATAACCCATTGATTCAGGTAAGGAGTCTTTTGCATAGGAGATGAGGAGGTAGAAGTACTGACCAGTTTGGATGTCTCTTGCTTTCCGATCTTAGCCGAGTATCCTGCTTTGTCCTTCTTTCGCTTCTCATTGTCGACCTTAACCTTATTACACTCATTCCAGAAGTGGCCTTCACTGGGAGTAGCAAGGTACTACTTTTTACAGTAGGAGCATTCCTTCATTTCAGCCGGTTGCCGTCGTACTGTGTTACAAGTCTTTTTCTTTCCTTTGACATCAGCACTTTTATACTCCTTATTATCCTCAGAATTAAGTGAGAATTTTAAGTCCAACAGTTTGTTGTAGACATCAAAGTAGGTAAGGGCCTCCTTAGGTTGGAGGTTGTCGACGCTGTTGCTCATCAACTGGGGCAAAGAACAGAGGAGAATGGCGGCTTTGGCTTCGGTTGACTCACATACTAATTTAACAACAAATGGTAGAGTGTATCAGTCAGTTTCCGAAGCAGTTGGGCAATGATATTGCATACGATGCTATAGGGTATCATATGTATTGATATGGTCCCACATAGGTTCAGAGATATCGTACTTGGAATCGAGGATCCTGTTAAGCTGGTCAAAGAAGAAGAAGGTATTTTCATGAGTAAACATATCTTTAAAGGCTGTCTAAATGGCAGTAGGTGTCCTGTAGGTAGCCAACATGACAAGCCATTTTGGATCAATTATTTCAAGAAAGTAGGCCAAGGCCCACTGGTAGCAATCTTGGAATTTTTCATAAGATTCGCTATTATCTTCCGTACTTTCCACATCCAGTATTGTTTCCACTCCTATTACTATGCCCCAACAGTTAAATAAAGTGAGAACATACTCCGCGATATCATGCCAGGTTCTATAGTTTTCTGGGCCTATGAGCTTGGAGATTGAACTCAACTTGTAGTTAGGTGTCCAGGGTCACTTAGAGTTAATGGGATTTTGCTGTGGTGGGTTGGCAGAGCCTGGAAGATCTATTAGTAGAAGTGGAGGGAGTGCACCCAGCAGTGACCCAGGTAGTAGTGGAGAAGTTAGGGGTACCAGGGGGTGTAGAGGAGGCGGTGGAGGAGTAGGATATACTAGTAGCAGAGGTGGCTGGTCCTGTTGTTGCTCAAGTACTTCTTTGGAGGAGCTCTTATAAGGTATGAATGGAGGTTGTTCAAAGGTATTTAACATGTAATATAGGTTGTTAACCTACTATAGGTTATTAACCTATGTTAAGAATCCTCAATTTAAGTTATTAACCACTACTTCCTAGGGTCAACACTCCTACACTAGTGGAAGCCGGTTTGCAGAACACCCAGTTGCACCTGGGCCTATTGAGGTTCACCAGTGGAGCCTGATTCAGGCTACCAAAAGGGTGAGAAGCGGTGCCTAAGAAAAGAAGAGGATTTGGAGAAAATGGGTCGTAGATTTTGCTTTTAAGCGAGAAAATGCTAAGAACATTTGACTGAGAAAGTTTTGTGCTGAGAAATAAAGTTTTGTTTCGAAGAAAGTTTCAGTTTGACCAATGTTTTCAACTGAAATGTTTTGAGAAATATTTTGGTCAAATGAATTTGTTTCGGTTCAAGATAGAAATGTTTTACATTAGGTGAAATGCTTCAATCACTATAGGTAGGAAGCATGTAGGTGTAAGTCATATAGTTATAAAGGCACCAGGCTCATAATCTATTCAAATGTCTGGGTACAGCACTATTTTAATAACTATATATAAAAATATGATGCAATAGAAAGAGTATACCGCAAGCACACTAAGCAAGGAGGAGTCGTGTATAAAGGTAGATTGGTAGTAGTTCTTGTCCTTAATTGTCTCAAGCGAGCTGGGTGGTAATCCCCTATTTATACAGGTACATATCTCTTATGTAACTAAGAGGAAATGTAAGGGAAAACATAAGTGTTAACATGTTTGACCATAACACAAGTAGGAGAAACATAAGTACAAACTTGTTTGACACTAAAGAACTGCCAAGGAAATCCCATAAAAGATGTATAAATCTGAGGTGGTGTGAGTGGATAATTAAAATATAATTGTAAATCAAATAACTGATGACTATGCATGATAATGTATAAAATATAGGAAATAAATCCAAATACCAAATAAAACAAGCATGCCATAATCCCCTAATCATATTATGAAATATACGTAATACATACTCCTAGTATTGTAATGTTCATAGTCTAGAAATAATACTAAGTAGAGGAATTTACGATATTATCAAGCCTGAGCCTGAGGAGAATATACATCTGAAATGAATTAGAAAATTCAACAGATTGTCCATCCTACTGACCCCTTTAGTAGCAGATCTTCTGTCCTACAAAGCCTGATGTATCTCATATTTACCTTACGATAACTTCCATGTAAGATGAAGATGTTTATTCATACTATGATGATAATAGACATGTCAATAAAGATATTGAGAATAACTGAGTAGCTGGACATGAAGTAAATCCTGCAAGTAAAGAGAAAAAAGGTTACTCCAACCAGGATTTTAACCAGACTACCAACAAACCAGGACATACTAGAAAGGCAAATACAAAGCATATAGTTAGAGAACAGGAATTTAGACTTGGGTCATACTAGAGCACACCTGGAAGTAGGAGTATAAGCAGAGGTAGAGGCCAGACCAGTTAGTTACATGAAGGAAGCAATCAAGCTGTGAGTATTGATTTAGCTTTACCTGTTACAGATAGTCTCAGAACTATCACAGAAGCCTTGGATACCCCCAACCACATACAGCAGATTGAAGCCATTAACATTACAAGAAGGGCATCAGACTTGGAGTATCATAGAGCAACAAACAGCTCAGGCTCTGATAGGCATGTGGACTATATCATCTAGGATAGTACTCTAAGAAAATATTAGAGAGGATGGAAAAGTTGTCAGATTTAAGGCATGTCTTGTCACACATAAATTCTGCTAGTAAGAAGAAATTGACTACTCTGAAACCTACAGCTCTATAATCTTGTTTGCTGCAATTTGAACTATTTTGTCTTACACTACCATGGAAAACAGAGAAATAATCCAACTTGTTATTGTAACTGTATTCCTTGAAAGCGAGATCAAGGAAGGGCTTTATCTGCACCTGCCTAAAGAGTTTGATATCTCAAAGAGTGGGGAAGTCATACTTCAAAACCACAGATTGAGGAGGCTGAATGAAAAAGGTATTATTATATACTTGAACTGTAGTCTTTATGGATTGAAGCAGGTAGGCCGAAACTAGTACAATACATTGAGTAGACACTTTACAACAGTAATGGGAATGTACATCTTAAAGTTTGAAGCCAGAATCTATACTACAGAGACTAGTACAATTATTATTACATAGGTAGATGACATACTTCTCATTGTGACCAGACTGGAGGTTACTTCAATGAAGTCTGCTATTCAACAGCATTTCACAATTAAAGACTTGGAAAACATAAAGTTTTTGCTCAACATGCCGGTAAAATAAGACCTGGAGAAGGAGGCTATTGATATAAGCCAAAAAGCGTACTTGGAGAAAATATTAATGAGATTCCACATGGACTCATGTAGGGAATGTGCAACCTCTATGGATGCTAAGACAAAACTACATATGCGGATAGACACAAAAGAGGCAGCAGAGAAAGTCATCTACCAAGAAGCCATCAGAAGTCTTACTTACGCAGCAATCACTACACATCTGGACATCGTATTTGCTACTGGACTTGTAGGATGTTTTAGTGCCAATCCATCTGTCCTACATTGGGCAGCAGTGAAGAGAGTCCTACAATATCTAAAAGAAACATTCACCTATGGATATATCTGGGAAGGAATTTGTATGGTGATGGAAGTATTAGGAAAGGAAATGGAGAAGCACCCATTACAGCCTATACCAATGCAAATTTCATAGAAGAAGTAGATAGTATGAGGTCGACAACTGGTTTTGTTGTATATGACCAATATGGTGCCATCGTCCACTGGAAGTTCCAATGCTAGAAGACTGTCACAAAATCAACTGCAGATATAGAGTTTAATACCACTGTTCTTCCTTTCAAGGAGGTTATTTGGTTAGCCAAGGTCCAGGTAGAACTCTATAGAAAAATCAAGCAAGCAACCCCTATAACTATTTTCAACAACAACTAAGCCTATATTGCCAGCTCAACCAACAGACAATTTAAAGCATCTATATAGTATATCAGTGTTCCATATCTTTTGGCTATGAGAATTGGTGCAAGAAGGAAATATTAAAATCATATATCTTAGAACAGATAAGATGAGAGTAGATAGGCTGATGAAAGGTCTGGAAAGTGAGAAACATCAGAGGTTCATTAGGATGCTAGAGATGAGGGACTAAGATATGCTAGTATCACAATACCTGTATTGTATTTTATTTGTTATAAATTTTTTTAGTTTTTTTTGTGGGATACAAGTGGTCATACATATGTACTAGAGCAGAGAGCATATGGGTATTAATATGCAAAAACTGGGCAGACACCTTTAACCTGGTTTTGAGTTATAACACTTTGAAGTTTGCATAACAACTACAAAATTTTTGGATCTGATGAATTATAAAGCTTATAAAGAGTCCAATTTAACTGACAAATATTTTTTTAAGCTCTTCAGATGATGCTCTGTATGCTTAAGAAGTATGATATGCATTAAAGGAAATTTGTTGCAGTTGTAGATTTGCCCAGTTTTCGCATATCAGCACCCATATAGGATTCGGGGGAGTGATGGATAGAATCCCATCTGGTAGGGATTAGGTTGGGTATGATAGTGGGTTTAGGGCATGACTGGTATAGATGTCATGATGGTTGTTTGTGGTATTTTTCCCTGTTATGTAGGTTTTCCTATTGTATGTGTCAAGTATACTATCTACCTGTACTTTAACTTTGAGCTCCTCCATAGCTAGCAGAGAGATCCCAGATCCCTCCATCATGTCGAACATCAAACTGTGCTTTTCTCCTGTGCACTGCCCAATTCTGCTGCACGGACAACTCGCCGTTCACTTGTCAGTGAGCTGTCATTAGAGCGTTGCCATCAAAAAGTGCGTGAACGAGAATACAGGATAAGGGATAACTCGCGTTAGCAGCCGAGGCGGCATACCAGTCAGTCCATCCATAGTGGGGTCATGCTCACCCCGCTATTTGTAATCCTTTACCCACCCATCTGCGCTTCCGCCTCACCTCGAACACCGTTTCCACCCAATTCCAACCCAACCAACCCCCAGCTCCAAAAGCGGAAGAGGAAGAAAAAAGAAAAACAGTAAAAAAAGAACCCCCCCCCCTTGACCAGGATGCTCACCAAAGAAACCCATCACGACGTCCAAACCAGTGTTTCCGGCACCCCCATGCGGATTCACCTCTTCCACCCTGCCATCCCCAACTACCCCAAGGCAAAGTTCCCTGGTGTTGTCGTCTTCTCCGAGATATACCAGGTCACCGGGCCCGTCGCTCGCTTCGCCAGACAGATCGCTGGGCAAGGATATATCTGTGCTGCTCCCAGCTCGTTCCACGAGTTCGTTGGACCGGAACCATTGGAGTATGATGTCCGGGGGACGGATGATGGGAACAAGTTTAAGATCGAGAAGAAGGTGGAGGCCTACGATGAGGATGCAAGGTTGACGGTGGATCTGTTGATGGGGCTGGCTACTTGTAATGGTTTGCTTCCATCTCTATTCCTCGTCGGAGTTCTTAGGGAGTTAATGGATCGTTAGGACGTATTGGTGCTACGGGGATGTGCCTCGGTGGTCATTTGGCTTTTAGATGTGCGCTTGACAGTCGGGTTCGGAGTGCAGTTTGCTACTTTGCTACCGGTAAGGCTGATGTTTTTTTTTGCATTGATTTATTACTCTCTTGGATGAGATCCGTCGCTAATTGACTTGCGAGGGCAGATATTCACTGTGCCACACTAGGCCTAGGCAAGAATGACGATTCGCTCAAGAGAGCGGGGGAGATTGAGGGAGAATTAGCAATGGTTGGTCATCCCCAACTGAGTTAGGCAAGTCGGTGAGTGGAGGGCTGACACGAACAGATATTTGGAAAAATGGATAACCACGTTCCCCCGGCTGGGAGAGACTTGATCCGCAAAGAATTGCACGATAAAGGACGTCTCTTTAGCTTTTATGAATTTGCATTCGCTCAGCACGCGTAAGTTGCCCTAGTGCCTCAATTGCAGACTGATGTTGATTCTCTGGGATCCAGATTCATTCGTGACGAGCTTTCTAAGGGGAGATACGATCCCGCCATTTCCAAGATCTGTTTTGAAGTGCTGCTAGAGTTATTCGGGAGGACATTGAAGACAGAATTAGGAGAACCAGAAGTGGACAATACCCCTGTCGAAAACGTATGCTGAGGTACAATTTTACCTTATATCCAACCGGGCAGAATCAACACAGGATAAGCTCTTATTATTTCTCCCTTACACCTTATCAGCAACCTGTTCGAAGACCCTCACAAACTCCATATGATCCTGCGCACCGCCCATCTGCCACTCGCCATTGATAGTAAAGTTCGGCACCCCTCTAATCCCCATCACCTGCGCCTTCCCAACCTCCCTATCCACTACCTCCCCACCCGAACCGCTCTCCAACCACCCTCTCACCTTCCCCTCCTCCAACCCAGCCCTCACCGCGGCCGCAGTCAAAACACCATGATCCGTGATATCCTCCTCATTCTCAAAATAACTCCTGAAAATCTCCTCAACAACCCTTGTCTGTAGCGTCCCCCCCTCCTCCTCTTGCCCCGCAAGCTGAATCAACCGATGCGAATCCCTAGTACTCCCCGTCTTCCCGCCAAATTTGAAGTCAATGCCGACATCCCTCCCCACACCCCGCAATCGCGCGAATATCATAGCAGCGCGGTCGTCCCCGAACTTGTTCCTGTAGAATTCCGCCTTTTCGATAGCAGGCGTCGGCGCGTTCGGGTTCAGGTAGTAGGGTTTCCAGGACACGCAGAAGGTCGCGTCAGGGGATCGGGCCTTATACGCAGCCATCGCCTTCTGCAACTTCTTGTGGCCGACATAGCACCAGGGACACACGGTATCTAAAACTCACGCCGATTCGTTCGTCAGTCACTCACTCACTGAGCCAGCCAACCAACCTCCCAGAGTTGCGAAAGTTGAGGAGGGATGACGACCAACTTACCGGAGACGATTTCCACAGTGAATTCAGACATTCCGTCCGCGAGAGAGAAGGGGGGCTAAGTACTCCTCTTTTTTTCTTTATATATATAATACCCGGTCCTCGCGTGGAGAAAACGTCGTAGTGTAGGTTAAAGTAAGGATAGCACCACACAGTACTGTACTCGTACTAGTACACCAAGTAACAGCAACGGCCCCAGATGGAAGGGGGGGGGGGGGGGACGGGTAAATTTATACCATATCCACATCCCTCTCGCAGACAGATTCCGGGCTGTGTGGATTTGTCATTCATCCACACAATGGAATTATTCGTTCCGGGGTTGTGTCAAGAGCTGGGGAAAATCGCTCATGGCTGACGTTGGTAAATTATGGTGTGATATGAAAGTACTGTATGCGGTGCTGCGAGCATGGTAGTAGGTTATACCGGCAGACTGCTATCATATGGAAACTCTCTTGCTTACAAATCCGCAACCACCCTCCGGCCCCATATCATATCTGGTGCTCTTGATGAGAGGGTGCTTCGCTGGATCCCGTCCCGGTACCTGAGTGAGGTAGGTATCGTTCGTACCCTCTCGTACACTTACATACCGAATCGGGCGCTCTGGAGGGTTAAGGATGGTTCGAGTCTTCCGAATAGCCTACTTTTTTATTAGAACTGCCCAGAGGGGGGGGTTGCTTCATTCAGAGTGAGATGGCGTGACCGCATTGTGTTATACTGATATCACACAGGATAAGATGTTTGGTATCATACCCGAGTATATTTATTTTGGGGGGGGGGGGGGCAAGGATTTATATCCGGGTCATCGGTAATGAAATTGGATGAGACCCTGTCTATATACAGACACAGATGCAGATGCATAATAAAAGTACATTACAATCCAAATGGTGAAAAGGTTGAAACAAAAGCAAATCAAGAGAGGCCTCCTAATCTTCGTAAAAACCGCCTTAAAAAAAAAACTAACGTTGAACCCAACCCCCTCTTCCTCAACCAGCCCATCTCCTATTACCGGAGCATCTTCGGATGAGTATCCACTTGGTGCCATCGGATCATTGGGCCCTCTTTGGGCACCTTGTTGGCTGCGGGATGGAATCTAATGGATGGACGAGGCGGTCCTGTCTCTTCGCTATTTCCACGGCCATCGTCCCCAGACCCAGTGGCTTGTGGCGAGACGGGGTGTCTGTCGACGCTACCCGCGACAGATCCTGTAGATCCATGAGGGCCATATCCTAGTTGCATGGGAGAGTTGTCTGAATGCCCCCTCTCACCTCGATAGCTGCCCCAATACCCAGGGCCCCATTCCTCAATACTATTTCGGTGAGATTGATTAAAGCTTCTTTGTGTTACAAAAGCTTGCTCCTGCTGATTTTTGATTTGCTTCTCCATCCAAACTGCCTTCGTTTCCTTACGGTGGACCTTGAGTTTCCACGAGGGTAAGCGTTTAGGTGGTTTGTAGATCCTTGCAAACTCCCTCTCGAGTTCAAATTCGGTTTTGACCCATCCTCGATCCGGTGCCATCGGGGGACATGTAACCTTTGGGGGCCTATCTGTTGGGAGCTCCCGTAGCTGCTTTGTAGCCATTAATCCGGCATCACGGGGTTGAAAGCTTCTCAATGGAGTATATGCTAGGGGTTTCTCCGGGGCTATATTACTGGTCGATGTTGCCGAAGATGGTGCTGTTTGAGTAGGTGCTGCAGAAGAGGGTGTAGGTAGTGAAACTTTCTCCTCTCTATCCCCCACTGGTAGCGGTGGCCTTTCGGGCGACCCATATTGGTTGATTTCCGAGTCTCCGGAAGGTAGATATGTTCGGCTCACTCGTATCTTTCTCCGTTCCAAACTATCACTATTGGGTTTCGCTGCTGCCGCCGAGGCCGCGGGATCGATCATCTCCAGGTGCTTTTGATGTAATTCCTCCTCCGTAATATCGAATGCCACCGGTGGCGGGAGTCTGAATGAAATGCAATAAAGGTTGTTTGTTGAGCCGTGCTTAACAAAGTGCACCCCTCGGACAAATTCCCGTCCCAGGTCGTAGCCAATCCTCTCGCCGATGGCCTTACGAAGACCGGTTATCGCATCCGCCTTTCTTTCTGCTGGAGCTTCGTGGTAGGCATAGACGTGAACAGACGGAAAATCTATTTTCCAGAAATTTCCCTTCTTCGCCAAGAGTCTCTCCCGATTCTTGTATATGCCTCTAAGACACGCAAGATGGCTAAGGGATTGGTCAGGGTCGCTGAAGACGAAATGAGAAACCCAAGAAGGAAGTTTCCTATCACCCTTCTTGAGAGGATTTTTCATAGTCACTCCAAGCTTGCTCTTTTTGTGCGGCTTATGGTCCACCGTTTTCTCGAAAAGCCTTTTGACAAGCTGCTGGACGAACTTCACTGGATTCTGGTTCTTAACGTAGATGTTTTTCTTGACCTAACAGTGCTCAGAGCGTGAGCTCCAATATCCACTAAAACCAAGCAAAAAGAGAGATGAGCAAAGCCTAAGCAATTCACCTTGTTGTTTCTTCGATTCTCAATGAGCAAGTTATAAACACTCTCTTCTCGCGCATTGGCGAAAACAACCGCCCCTCGCTTTGCAGCAGCCACACTTAGCGCACCAACACCACAATAAACATCGGCAACAGCCTGTCCCAACCCAAAACTATCCACAAGACGATTCCGCTCAGCCGCCAGCTTCGTGTCAAAATGAGCATCACGGAACTTGGCATCATCGAGGTGAAAAGTGAAACTGGAGCCCTGGTGGTTGAGCTCTACGTGGTAATTCTGAGGACCTGCTAGGACTTCGTTTACGAACCCAAGTTTTGACGCTTCTCCTCCCTCCTCAGGTTCACCAAAAACCGTCTGCACCTCCCTCTCTTTGTCACAAATAACCTCTGCAATAAGTCCTCTATACTCCAGTAGGGAGCCGGGGACATCCAGGTGCATCAATGGACCAATTCGAGGAAGGCTATTGATATCCGGGGGGTTGGCATCTTCGGGAAGCACAGCCCTCATAATCTCCTCTAGAGACCACACTACATTAGCGGACGGCCAACTTCCGTCAGGGGAAACGGGGGAGAGGCCCGTACCATAACTCCAATCTCCGTACTCCAGTTTCAGATCATAGGGCACCAACCGGAGTATCTTCGAATTCACATACTCCCGCGTGGGACCCGAAACAGCCGAGAGATCTGCCCCCCCAAAAAATACGCCCCATTAACAAAAACCACATCCCTCCGGAGATTAGAAGTCACAATAGGCGTCCATACCATCGTATTTCACGTCGGGCCGTAGAATGAGCAGCGGGGTTTCGGTATCGAGTTTCGAATTAAAGTCGTATCTCAGGTTGAACCTCTCGTAGGGGATCAGATCCCTCAGAATCCTCTCCTTGATCGTGTGGACCTGAGTAGCGTCGAGCACCCGCGCGGCAGTGACCGGGACAATCTTTTTGAAAAAGGCACGATCCAGCGTGCGCATCGCACGATTGACCGGTGGCAAGAACCGAGATAGAAACATTGTCAAGTGTGGATACCCTTCCCAGGGATTAGAGATGAATTGATAGTGGGGAGCAGATATGATTGCATGTGGAATGTTTTTTTTTTTTTCTCTCCCGCCCCCCTCGTGCTCGAGATCGGTTAAATCTAGGGAGGGCAATTTTAGTTTGCTACCGATAAGATCGGAGCCTCAACTTGTGGCTTATGTAATCGAGACTTGTTAGAGAAGGTTAGGTACAAGTACAGTAGGCTTTGGGGCGAAACCTAATCCGCTTCCTCTTCGAGTATCATGATACCCCTCAGCCCCCCCCCTCCCGGACAGTCAGGCCTTCCGTGTGTTTAGCAAATGACGGGAGTTTCGCACTCTGACTCATCCGCTCCAAGACGCTCATTCCAAATCCTTCGGCACCCCACCTCATCGCAGCTTGTGGTTCAGTCCTTTCGAGCAGGGGGTAAACAGGTGAGGGGGTAGCACTTGAGGCGAAAAATAAGAAGAAATCTAGCAATCCTTAGCGAGTGGCTCGACCCGCTGCCCGATCATTCTATAATCTCATACTCGGGCGGTCATTAAATATCACTCGACGAGGTGAACCAGACGAGAGCCGCAGATAGATTGATCTTTGAAATTCATCCCCCCCCCCAAAAGAAAAAGAAACCAAACAGGAGACCCAAACCGAACCAAAACAAACCAAAACAAACCACACCAGACAAAATTTGACACGAGGGCGCACCAGTAGAGAAATATTTAGGAGGACGAGAGGAGGATAGAAAAGAGCGAGAAGGTGAACAATTCGAATCTACCGCACTACCAGAAGCCAAGCGAGAAAAGCAACCAGAAACCAAGCAAAACAAGCGACCGCAAAAGATCCGCAGAGCTTCATCCCCCCAGAAGAAGAAAACCCCTTTAAAATCCCCCGGCCATGTTAGTCTGTTACATAGCAATCGAAAACTAAAGAAACAATTAGTTCCTTAGGACCCCAAAGGAAGGGTTACTAAGAACTTACATTACCAGCACCCTGATTACCCATAGTAGCGTTGCTGCCGATATTTTTGTTGGTAAAGGTTCCGCCGTTGTTATCGACTCTGTTGTCGGCCCTGTTCTCGACTCTGTTGTCGGCTCTGTTCTCGACTCTGTTGTCGGCTCTGTTCTCGACTCTGTTGTCGGCTCTATTCTCGACTCTGTTGTCGGCTCTGTTCTCGACTCTGTTGTCGGCTCTATTCTCGACTCTGTTGTCGGCTCTGTTCTCGACTCTATTGTCGGCTCTGTTGTCGATTCTGTTGTCGGCTCTGTTGTCGATTCTGTTGTCGGCTCTGTTGTCGATTCTGTTGTCGGCTCTGTTGTCGACTCTGTTGTCGATTCTATTGTCGTTTCTCACGCTATTGTCGTTTCTTACGCTGTTGTCGTATGTGGAGTTGTCGCCCATTTTCACGCTATTGTCGTTATGGATGCGGTTGTCGTTTCTAACGCTATTGTCGACACTGTTGTCCGTGTTATTCTGTTGGTAATTGGGGCCATAGTTGAATCTCGTGCCGTTCCAGGTATTGTTATTCGAATTGGTGGTGTTCCCGCAGTTCGAGTTGTTGTTACCAAAGTTATTGTTGTAGTTGTTGCTACCATAGACGTTGTTGCTACCGCTGTTGCCACTGTAGTTGCCGGATATGTACGACTGATTGTTGCCCGCATTTGGGTTCCAGTTCATATTCATATTCCTATAGCGGGCGTTCGGGTTCCCATAGCCCGCGTTCGGGTTTCCGTAGCCTGCGTTCGGGTTTCCGGACATGGCGTATTGTATGGGGGGCTTCGGTTTAAGCTAGTGGAGCTGGTATTGGGGGGTTTGAGGATTGAGGGTATAAGGTAGTGCGAAATATTCAGGCAAGAGCTAGTTATTTCGGCCAGGAAGATACGGTAAGTGTCCTTTATCCGTCCAGCCCCTAAGAATAGGGAAACAAGCCTTCTTATACAAGTACTGCGAGAAACCTCTGCGGAATGGGGGGGGGGGGGTAGAGACTAAACGCCCTGAATCACCAGCACCACCAACAGAGGTGCGTGACACAAGCTTTGATCGAACCTGGGTGGCGAACCATAATTGGATCCATTGGTGGATGGCAGTGCTGCCTAATGTGCTGTAGTACACAAAATGTTCCACTTGTGAGGGTTAGACGCGGGCACTACCGTGCTGGTGTTTTTTTTTTGTTTCTCATTTCTTTTTTTTCTCATTTCTTTTCTTTTTTCGCGCACTCGAGTACTCGTACGGTATTGTAACTTGTGTTGGGGTCGGGACACGCAGAGTGTCTCCAAAGTTGAAGATTACGGTACCGGTACCGTACTCGCACACTATGGTATGACAGGGAGGGGTAGCAGGGACAGATTGGGCAGGTGTTTCTGATGCTGGAAAAATCTGTTTGTCACTAACCTTCGCGACGCACTCGGAGGCGATGGCACCCCCAGCTGTGAGTGGATGAATGGTTCAGAGCTATTATTATACGGTACGGCGAAGCACGAGAGCCACAAATGGCTACATGGACCAGGACTCTCCTACAGATAGAGCCATAGACTTGGAGAACCAGTTGCTTGCTCGCGGTGACTTAGGTTTGATTCGGAAAGAGGGTTAATATCTCGAGCTCCATTTGTCTGGGAATGAGGAGGACACGGTTCGAGTCAGCCAAGGCATTCTCGTAGGTGACAGCGGTCCCAGTCCTCCGCGCGCCTAACTCTGGGGAGATGGGAGACGGGTTCTCTTGGTTCCACGGTAACCTAGCGTGACCACGTTTTCACGGGGTATACCGGTAGCGGTACGGTACCGTACCCTATTGTAGCAAACTATGATACTCGAGTATGCGCGATTCCGTTGGGGGCTTGCCGCTGTACTGTACCAGTCGTGTATGTAAAGCACAATCCAGATTTTGTACGAGTGCTGTACTCGAGTACAGTAACCCACAGCCTCGTTTCAAGATTCCAAAGCAATCCACGTTACCGTACTCATTCGCATAATTCGAGGATGACTCACAGGAGAGAGTGTGCCCTGGTGGGCAACCCCTCTGGTGCTTGCATACTGTACCAGGAGCTCCTACCATCAGCAAGACTAACACCGAGAGGTCTTCTCTCTGCACGAAATTTCAACTTGGATATCGGTACGGAGAGTTCACTATTGGATCTAGTTACAGGTGACTGCGGTGGGAGCAGTTGAAATCGCGATCCCAATCCATCCCATCATACATTCCTACGGTATGATAGGGGAAAAGTGCTCGAGTATCTGCACCCCCGGGTGATTTCGAGTGGAGTGGAACAACTCAATGGCCTGGTCACGCTGACCCTTTTTTGTCCTGGGCTGCGCGTTTGTTGTCTATGCGTAATTACCCTATTTAGGAATGATGACTAGTTCTGGTGCTAACTACGGTAGGGATTTTCCACTCGACCCCTGTAAAGTTTAAGTCAAAACTTGTGATGATTGATATCTTTTATGATGCTCGAAGTATCATACAAAAGGTTTCCCCCCAAGCATGTTTGAAAGTTGGCCCCGGGCTAGTGTTGCAAATACCAGTACTTGTGGGGCCTTCGGTAAGGGAGCCCGGGGGGGTTAGAAGAGGGGGTACAGTACAATTACTTTAAAATAATAACCTTATTGGCAAATCTGGATCCAACATGCCTATTGTCCTTGGGGAGTACTGGGAGCGCTCACGGATTCCGAGATATTTGGGGGAACCACCGCTGGGTCCCCAAGGCTTTGTGCTTCCCTAGTGCCTCGGCATTAAAGCGTCTAACTATCATACCCGTGGAATCCACAGGTTTGATAAATTTATGATAACATGTTTTTTTTTAGAAGGAGAAGAAGTTCCACCATAGCCCCCCGGTTCGAGAAGCGAGTCCTAGCTCCCTCGACCATTTTTTGGTGAACCCCCCCCTTCATCACAGCATTGCCCGAGGCCTCGTCTACTGAAACGCCAGTATAGACCAGCAACCGGGAGTTTAGGGATGCCAACACTGGTGTTTCTTGAGCCTGAGAAGTGATGCTGGGCACGAAAGTTCCGCGGCAGCCAATCACCTAACGTGCGCAGCGAACCTGGTACTGTACCCGACGAATTACAGCCTTGGCCCGAACAGCAATACAAGTACGGTACCGCTACCGTACTCAGGTGCTGTGTGAGTAAGTTACTCGAGTTGCTCTGTTGCACTGCGGGCAGTTTCAGTTTTGCAGGATCATGTAACCTTGGCACGGTTACCCCTTCCTGCTGTCCAAGTTATCCTCAGCTTTAAGGGTGGTCAGCCTGGAATATGGGGGTATCGCGTGACTGGCAAGGGACGCGCCCGATGCTTCCGCTTACGCTCTACCGTACTTGTACCGTAGCCCTGCTCGATGGAACATTCTGGCTCGAACCGATCTGCACCAACCTTGAGCCTCCCCGCTCTTTCATCCCCGTCGTCGAAAATAACCTCATCATACCTGCGCTTTATCGGGCCGAGTATACTTACCTGTTGCGTACCGTACTTTAATACCGCTGCTCGAGTACCACAAGGAGGGTGCTTGTGTGGCACGGAGGCAGATGTACGAGCACTGTAAAGGATCCCATCAAGGCGAGTCCGATGTAGATCGTCTTACCGTCAGTGGTGTTTCCGGGGAAGGGGGGGTTTGTCCTTGAGGCTCCTAGACCTCCAACAATTCCGAGCATTGACAAGTTGCCCTAATTACCATGCCGCATTGAAATCCCCAACTCTGTCACCGGAATTACAGTACGGTAGTAGCGCACACCCCTCCATGAAATTTGATTCCGAATATCGGCGAGAGCACTGGCTCTGAGAACCCGTACTTGTACTTGTACTCGAGTACCTGCACCGGATCCATATCATTGACGGACCTTGCCACAAGCGCTTGGATCGACGCTTTACCACTCGTCAGAGGTACCGGTACAAGTAACGGTAACCTACGGTAACCTACGGTAGCCCCCCGGCACTTTGAAACCGCCAACGCAAGGCATCCGCGTTGAAAACTGGCCTCACTCTCTCGTTCCCTCTCCTCAATCCAAGTCAATTGTGCAACCACTCTCGCATACCTTACCACTCTACTACCGTGGTTTGTCTACCCGTATGGGGAATCTTTTAGAGGCTTATTTTTCGCAGCCTTCATCTTCTTCTAGGAGGGCTAGTTCGCTCGACAAATACAAAAAGCCTCAAGAAAAGATTTATCTTTGATCCGGGGGCATGGGGGGCGCATGGGGTGTTATCATACATGAGCGATGAGATGGAAAGGTGCGCAGTTACGTGGAGAGCAGAGGTCCTATCGCATCTTGCAAACCACTCCAGCATTTTCGGGCATGAGGGCGCGTCTGCGAGGGGGAAAAAACGGGGGAGAAACTGGAGAAAAAGGAAAGTTCAAACAACTCAGGGCTTCGTGTCTCTGGATGACGAGCTCTGGCCTGATACCGGTAGGTTGGCTGTCCTGCATTACTCGCAGTGTTGAGTGGGAGGACCTCGGATAACTTGTCGGCGATGAATTCGCGGGAACTCCTCCGCAGAGTTTTTATTTTACCGTATTTCTTCCTGTTCCTACTGCACAGCCTGGGCTCGATGCGAAGTTCACGCTGCAATAAGGGGTTTTGGTGCCGTGCCCGAATACGGGAAATCTCCGAAACGCATTTTTTATATCCAACGGACTCCTCTTCCCATTCAACTGCTGAGGGTAGGGCTAACACTGGCACCGGCTGCTTACCACGTCATTCGTGTCTCGTCAAGTGGACGCCAGTAGAGCGGTAGAACCTTCCATTGCACGGTGAAGCGAGAGCAAGAGGAGCGCGGGGACTGGTATCGTGTCAGGGTCGGAATCGGAAGGGCGCTAAACGGATCGACGAGTTTCCGCGGCGAAGGGGGGCAGAAATGATAAGTTGCTCGATAGGATAGGACATTGCCCACTTGGATTGATTCTCGCTCACGGTAGCCTTGTCTTTAGGCCTCGTTAGATTTTATATTATTGGTACTACCGGTGAGTCCAATATCGGTACTTGTCTTGTTTCAGCCTCGGTGGGCAAAAACCCCCTAGTGCGGTGGTCACGCGGTAGGTAAATATATCGGACATCCTCACTCATCACGCAGGAATATTGCTGGAAAGGCTGGGGGTTTCCTGCGGGTCGTTGAGCGTGCTAGTTGGCGCTGGCATCACCATTCAGGAAGAGAGCGCGGTTTGCATTAGCTTTGTGTTTTACCTCACTGTGGACAAACGGCCCCGCCATGGTTCATCGGTGATCGGAACGGGAGTGCCGGTAGCGCCCTGGTTCCTCAGTCCCTTTAATCGCTGCTCCAATAGTAGCGTGGCTGAGCTGCTGGCGCCAGCATTCTGTCAACTGTTGGGAGGAAGTGCCCTTGGCCTAGTTTCCCGCTATATATCATCCCATTGGGGTTATGTTTGCCCCCTGCTCCCCCAGAGTCCCCCAAAACGTACGCTCCTGCGGTTGCCATAAGTATTGGAGCACCGCTACTGCTGGTACCGCGTCGTGCCGTACTTTTCTGCACTGGAACACCTAGCCACGCGCTGGGGACCGCCTGTTGGAGAAGAATTGGGCCCCATAGAGTACTGGCACCCGTCTACAGTCTCGGTACGGTACTGGTACAGTACATGGAAACATGTGCACTGTACTACCGGTAGTGTGGCACAATGCCGGTAGACAATGGGGTGAACTGCATGTTCCGGGAACTTCAGATTCTAGGCTCCCACAACGCTTCGCACATTTCGCACTCTACTATATCACCGGCAAATCGAATAGACCTCCCTCTCCCCCGCTGATCCGTATCGCCGCGACGGCAGCTCGGTCTACGAACTGGCAGCGCTCACACTGGACACGGTGGGGGATCGACTGGAGGAAGATTGCCAACTGGCTCGCCCCGTACTCGAGTACCGGTATCGCCGATGCCCTCTCGCTTAATAGCAAGCTATCTATGGCTTGCATCGTGAGGGAGCTCACTCCAAGCGATGTGCTGTGCAATGTTCGTGCACGGTAACATTTTGGGTCAAGTGTAAAGCTGAGTGATCCTTGTTTGATCAGGTTCTAGTGGCACCGGTAGACTGATAGAAACGTGCCGGGACTTGGGCAGAAAGGTCCAAGGTAAAATCGATATGTATGACTTCGGCCACCTTTACGATATTGTAAGCAAATTTTGAGCTTTTGTTGGCCTTGGAGGCTGTGTTTCGATTGTCGGCGGGAGAATTGCCACGCGGGGCCACATCTTTAGCTTGTATCACATAAAATCACTCGATCACCCTCACCGCTTTCCCCCCTATGCTAAACTCACGAACCGGAGCAGGCGCCCGGATACCGAAAAGCATTGGCCGAACCCTCCGCCCCCCCCCCAATCTCTCTCGAGTGCAGGTCTTTTCGGGCATGCGGATACCGGAAGAAGACGGTAGATCATTGGAAACCTTGTTTCGGCATATATCGGTGACGAGACAGCGCATCATATTATACGAGCAGTTCGTCCGGTCTTTTTTGAATGGGGGGGGACGGGCCAGTTATGCCTCTCTACGTAAGGACACATGGTGTTCGCAAAAATCTTGGAAGAGGGCCGAACCAGTGCGAGAAGGCTCCGGGTGTCTCAGCTCACAGGCGTACGGTATTCTGGGGAGCGCCGGATCAAGTGATATCGAATCGAATCGGCAGTGGTAGATAACAACATCGTTAATGCCTGGCCCGGAGACTAATTGCTATCAGTTAATAGTCCCTATTAGGTATGGTTCTACCCTTTTTTTCTTTTCGTTTCTTTCTTCCTTCTTCTCCCAATTACTGCGACGCATGGGGTAGATCGGAGAACGCTGGCCACCCGAATAAAAAATGGTCATCTCAATTGCTGTCCAGAATCCTGAGACGGATGAGTTCTCATACTGTGTTCTCGGATCATGCGCAGAAGAAAAAGACTTTTATTATGATACAGTTACTTTTTTTTTTTTTTTTTTTTTTTTTGCGGTCAAGATAGAGTGAGAAAAGCAATTAAACTGTAGACCGCAGCTCCCTTACTTGTTGATTGACATCAAATCATACTCCTACTGTAGCAACCATCGCCTCCTGCGAACTAGTCCGCCGCTCGTGGCCGAGGGTACAAGGGCACCACAAATACGCTTGAAGATCTACACCGCGCCGTGATTGGACATGGGGACTGGTTTTATCCGATGGCTAGCGTCGCGCTACTATCGGTCGGTACTGTACGCGTGAATAAGCATTCCCCTGGGCTCAGCGTACTCGTAGGGGGTACCGGTATTACGGCAATTTAGCTAGGTATTATAGCTCATCAAATTTTGTTGTGTTCCTGAGGAATTTGGTTCCCCGGGTATCATAGCTACTTTGTCCGTTGTTACGACCTATAGGATCGAGCCTAGATCCGGGTACTCAAGTGCCAGAATGTGATGCCTTGCTCTTGCTCGGGCACAGTACAGCTCACCGGGACAACAGGTCACTTGTACTGCACTGCACTAGTGCTCTGCGTATGGAATGCGTGTATGGTGTACCGGGAGCTATGGGGATGTGCAAACATCGGCCAGCTGTACGCCTCAGAGGGGTATGTACGGTACAATTCCACTTCCGTATAAGGTAGGGGTGGTCTTCAGGCTGGATAACGGGGTAGGGTAACAATGCCATCCCAATGCAGCGAAGGTGTGTTATGGGCTCTCAACTAGAGAGTCGCCACGTACTTGACACTGAAGGGACAGCATCTCAGTACAGGTCATGCTAGAGGATATTGGGGGACTCGAAACGGAGGGAAACAGTACACACCGCAGAGAGCGCTGCGGGTAGCCTGCAGAGGAGGCTCAACCAGGGTTTCTTAGTGGACCCGAAGGTGCTTGTCTCAAGTGGATGATCAGCAATTCTTCTGCTCGGTGAGGTGATGGTCTTGTGTGCATTCTAATTAATTAGGAGAGGCGGGTGGGGGCCCGGCAGGCTTCCAATTATGAGGCAGCGCTCTGCGGCCCCGCAGCGTGCGCAGTGACGAAAGCGAGCATGTCCTCACACTAGAGCACTCGAGCTCCACCAAACGAGGACTGCCAGTCGTTCAACCTTAAAGGCGAATTATGCCCGGTATTGCAGCTTCTTCAAACACCCTCAGCTCCCTGACCTCCCCTCTATACGTAGCAAACACGGATCACAATCACGGTAGCCCGACTTCAGCTAATATGCAGAGTGAACAAATCCCCCGGAATCCTATCGAGCAATCGTTGGCACGGACCCATAGCAACTGTCACTATCAATGGCTGCTTGAAGAGAAGCGTAATATGGTTCGATCCAGCTTTTTAGCTAAGAAACAGAACCAGGATCTTGTGTTTTGGGTCGGTAAAGGTACCGTGGTCCTTGTCGGGATGGCTCCTATCCCCGTATCTTCGATAACCATTCTCTCGAACATCTGGAACTAACGGAGAATTGTCGACCAGTATCCGAAGCAATAAAAAATGATCCAACTCCACGAAATGAGCTGGATATCTGTCTCAGACCACTAGGGAGCCCCCTCCCATCACTAGCTATCGTCTCCGGCTGGACGGAGGCCTATGGGAAGATGTTTTCGGACGTTCAATCCTGGATAAAATTGGGGAATGGTGGTATCAGGAAGGTCTTCTTGCTCAGGTGGTCAAAGACCCCCTCACACGAGGTTGGGTGTGATTTGGAGGTTTACGAGTGGGACGAATCTACTAGGGGAGTGCGCCTTTCGCAGAAAGAGGTCGGTAACCTTCCGTGGCTGGTGTACGCATTAGCGCCAGAACTTAGCTGATTGGCAAGATAAGATTGTGCTCCCAGAAATTGACGAGGTGCGGGAGGTCAAAGTGCTGTTTGGCGAAATCTTTGGGAGGAGATTCCCTGACGCGGATTACAACTCCACTTATCCTTTCTCATTGGGCCGGTTACGCGCAATCGCTAAGAAAGTGATTGAGGAGGATGGCTACCGATATGTATTGGAGACAGCGGCATCCGATCGAAAAACTGGGGAAGAGACAGAAAACTCCGGAAACCCAGGAAACAATTCCTTGCCCAGCAGCGCGCATGTTCTGGATCGTTCCACGGTCGGCGCTAGTGTTATTTCCCCTGATGAGCCAAATGCCGAGATAACCTCCGAGGACACACATCAGGTATTGGATGCAGCGGAGGATATTTCGAGTGTTGCAGATTCTCCTGGAAAGACCGAGCTTTCCCTTCACGGACCCGATCGCGCCGGCCCCGTCGGGAGTCCTGAGCTTCAGAATGAAGCAAACCGTGGTGGTGGTACGGGCTCTGAACCTCTAGGACGGGCGAGCGAGTCGCCAAGGCCATTGGAGGATCCACACTTCCCTAATGCTCCTGAAAATATTGGAGCCACTGGGGAAGATTCAATTCACAGCTCCGGCGCCGCTCCTAGAATATTAGCGAAACAGAGCACACCACTTAGCTCTTCACAGGGCTCAGATGTGTCGGATACCTCGTACACCTCAGACATCTCAGACAACTCGGACGCGGGGGTCGATCAAGATACTAGTGCTTCGGTGGAGACCGGTCCTGTTACTAGCCCTAGAGTTGATTCGGAATCTCTAGGGGAGGTTCCCCCATCATTAGGAATAGATATCCCGGAAGCCTCGAGAGATGGGGATGCCGTTACCGATCCTGAATCTCCGGAGGGGGTGAATCCACCCCACGTTAAGTCGGCGGGTATAGGGGGCCCCGAGGCCCTTGAAAATGGCGAGGGTACCGTTGAGGTTAGCGATCCGGAGGCCCATCCTAAGCCTTCCGGGGATGCGAGCTCTGCACTGATCTCACCGCAACCATCAGAGGTCTCGCGGGTGGCCCAGGCCACCGATTCTACTGAGAAAATTAATGAAACGGCTACCGTTCGAGCGGGGCCCAGTTCCCTCGAAGAATTAACTCCTACAGAAGCCTCCTTACAGGATTCAATTACTCCAGTAACCGGGAGTGCTCTTAAAGATGAATTGTCAGTCCTAGTCGATGGGGCCATGGATGATACTATCAATGGTGGTGTCCCTTTGCCTGGTGATATCGTATCGCCGAAGCTGCCTTCGGGGTTTGCAACCCAGAATACATCTAGTGATGCTGCGTTAGGAGGTGTCCAAGGAGGGGTCGGAAATTTTGAAGTTGCAAATCCGGAGGTGGTCGAGGACGTATTCATGGATATTGAGGAATTTAGAGTTCACGAGGTACAACGAAGGGAGGAAACCGAGCGTCGGCGTGTACTTGAGTGCTCGGAGTGTAGGCGGGCTTCGGCGCAGGGTCACTTGGGACGGGAGTCTAATGAAAATGTGCCGGCTAGAGATTCGATCTCTCTTGAAGGGGGGGGTAACCAGCAATCGAAGGTAAACCGTGCACTCCCAATACCTAATCAGGTGATGAAACGCTGATTTTGACAGGTTGATACTCAGTCCAATAGTGGGTTGTTTTCCTATTTCTCGTCGTTTTTTAGGGGGGCAGCATCTCCAACCCCCCCCACAACACCCCCGCGGGCTAGTAATGCAGGAGTACACGAAGCTGCGGATACTGTCGTGACTCCACAGGAGGCGACGGTTCCTGCGATTAAAATAACCAGCCCTCGGCAGCCTAAGGTTCGGAATGGGAAAGAGGTTTCCTGGCAGGATCTAGTGGATAGAACAAATAGGGGAAAGAGAGGGAGTTCGGGTAGTTCGGGTAGCCTGGAGGAAAGCTCGCCAAGTAGGTCCCACCTGTTATTGATAAACCGGAAATCACGGGGGGTGGAAATACTGACAATTTGAAGGCCGACTATTCTCGTCGCCTGGTATAGCTGAAGGAAGTTCTGCTGCTGGCGGAGGCCCGTATGCAGGAGATCCTCTTGGTATTGGCATTCCGTTCGGGGATAGGGTGTACTCATTGATGTCTGCCGAGGCACGCACTAGTGAACATTCAGCATCAGACGGAAGGGTTTCTGGGGCAGAAGCAATTCCACTGATCAGAACCAGCCCTGCATCAGAGCACTATGAGGAGTCTCCATTTGCGGATATCAGAGATGGGGAGGTCCAGGTTGTGAATGGAGCGGTCAATCGAGCCACAACACCATCCGCTATAAGATCTCCATTTTTCCCAAATTTCTTCCAATGTATGTAAACATCTGATTCGCGGCCGCTCCCTTGGCTGCTAGTGGCATGCTGACAAGCGGTAATTTGCCGAATAGGGTCTGATACTCAGAGAACACCCTTCTCTGAACCTAGCTCAATGCGAAAAGGAGCTCCAACTCCGGCTATTGGGCCACTTGGCGAACATAGATCTCCCATGATCAGCCGCACTCCCTGTGTCGGAGCAGAATCACCACTCCCGTCGGGGCCAGCCTCTTGTGTTCATACGTCAAGTTTCATAGGGGGCCATGGCCCCGCCACCATTACAACCGAGAGTTCAAGCCCTAATAATTTTGGGAGTCTACGTGGTGGTGGTGGTCTCACTGGGAGAACTCGTCCGGTGAATGGTAGGCTTGCTCCACCGCATGGCCCGCCGGGTGCTTCTGCGCGGGGGACGCAGAGCGGGAGATATCAGAGCGTGGTACAGGAAGAGCGCGAGGAATTTGCTCATGGTTTTATGGACGAGTCAAGTCGCATCAAGTATTACGACCCTTGTAGAAATTGTGGTGTTCTTGCTAACAACAATATGTTGCGCCTTAACTAGTTTTGAACGGTTCTCACAGCTCGAAGATCTTATCAAGAGGTTTGCTGTAAAGCATTTCAACCGGCTTCCCTCGAGTTTGAGCGTGGTGAGTTATCTGAGATCTTCAGCAAGTGTAATTTGCTAAGTGTTTATTGTTTGAGTCTTCCGCCTCCCTGGATACATCGCCATTCCCACCAGAGTTTCTCTGTAGCTCTCCGCTTGGGAACAGACTACGCACTGCAGCAGTTCAAAATATCGTCTGCCGCCATCTCGTCAATAACATCTTCTCGGCCGTTGTTCCTAGCTTGTGTTTCAATATGGAAGTTATAGCGGGAGAATTGATGAAGTTGGATCCATTGAAACAAGCACTCTGGCAGGTCTTAACTGTTGAAGCTCTGGAGGCTTTGCCGCAGTACGAGGCGGCAGCCGCAAAGCTGCGACAGAAAACAGTCAATGAAATTCTTGTCAGCATTGGCGCCATGTCTGACTCACCAGTAGCTTCTCTTGCGGAATCCCTTCATGGTCTTGTAAAGTTTGCTCAAGATGCTTGGGAGCCTACATTCAAGTCCAAGGCTCAGACGATCCCCGAGGTTGATATCGAAAACGGAACGGCAAATTTCAAAATGGACCCCAAAGACTCTCGATTAAGAGGGTCATCTGGATTGCAGGGAGAAGGCATCACTCGTCCAGTTCTATGCCTATTCCCAGCTATCTACCAAATCGCCGACGGACGCGATATCCTCATAGCGCCAGGAAGAGCCTTGTTCTCGGACCTCTACCATTCCGCCGAAACGGAGCTGCAAGCTAAACTGAAGCCATGGAATTCGGGCCAGAGGCATGACCGCCGCGCATCTTTCATGAGGCCGCCGTTCGTCCATCGCAGTACACGTCCTCCCACATCTCCAGAATCCCAGTCGGGAAGATGGAGCCCGAGACGCATGTCTCACGAGCATTTCGACCATAACCAATGGTGCTCACATCCTAATGATAATGAAGATGGAGCAATAGACTTCTGGGACGTATCTATGCATCTGAAGGAGTATAGCCCGGAGGCCCTGAGACATGGGAGGAGGAGAAGTACAGGATCAGAAACCTTTTCCGAAAGTCGTAGTCCGTACCTTGGCCGAAATCGGTCTTTCAACGGTAGCAGGTGGGAGTCTGTGTATAGCAGTAGGCAAGAGTCTGTTTACGAGAGGCAGGGGCCTAGGGGTAGGAGGGAGCACCATTATGGCGGGAGACGGGAATCGTTTCAGGGAAGTGGAGATCATTACTGGCGGTAAATTGTTTTGGGGGTATGCACCTGGTCGTCTGAGGAAGTTCCTTCCCCCGCTGGTCGGTCACCAAAGCCTTCCTCTTTCTGTTTTCCCTTCTGTTTTCCTTCTGTCTTTTTCTTATTTCTTTTTTCGTTCTTTTCTCATCTTTTATCGCTGTTGGTCTGCAAGACGCGCTGCTTTTTCCGGCGATGTTTTTGGTGCATTGGGGAGTCGGCCTGTTTCGGGGCATCGCAAATGATACTTAGCATATAGTACTAGCATCTAAAGTCCATACATCAATTGTTAATCTCGAACCCTTCGGCTCCTCAATGATACCCCAATCCCCACGCTCGCAAGCTAACTTGGCCATTATGGTACTCGAGGGTTCAAGTTATGCTATGCCGTTCTTAGCTCTCGAAGATGGCTCCCCCTAGGACAGCAGCTCTAGGTCACGAGACGATTTTATGACCATCGGGATATAAACACTGTCTAGTACCGGGATGGTAATAGCGATAGTAGACTACCAGGACCTTCCTTCAGCAAACACGGATCCCCACCAGGTGCGCCGGGGATGAGAACCCTTATCCTCCAGTTGACGCCCCCCCCCCCGAGGAGGATTCCCATCCGTATATGTATAGTATGATAGACAGATATTCCAATCTGGGCCCGGAATAACGCTGTGAAATATCATACTAATACCCGTTCCGTTCCCGAGGTGAAGAATATTGGATTTGAAGGAAGGAAAGAAAAAAGATTAAAGGGAAAAATTGGTTTTATGTTATTTGGGAGGGGGGGTCATACCGTACTAGTACAGTACAGTACAGGTACCAGTATGATGAGGGTGTTTTTTTTTCTTTTCTTTTTTTTTTCCCTTCTTTGGGGGGCATGATATTATAAAATTGATACCGGCACGACGATGTGATGTGATAGAATAGAATAGTGAGGGAAGGGAGGGAGGGAGGAAGGTTAGGACAACTGTATATATATATATATACACCGTACGGTCCGGTACGGTACCAAGTACATTTTATATAGACTGCTACAGTGCGGTGCGCGTTCCTGGTTCCGTAACTCCTGTGTTGCTGGATTGGAAGGAAGGAAGGAAGGAAGGAAGGAAGGACGTGTCTGGAGTGTATATATGACACTTGTACAAGTGGTTTTGCCTCTGTGCGCGCTGGCAATGTAATCCGGGATCGTGCAAGTATTGCGGTGTCCAGGTGCGGACGTTTCGCTTCATGAATCACCTGTGCTGTGACTTGTTTTGTGTTGGTTTGGCTAAATTGGACATCCGAGTACCGTACTGTACGGTACTCTTCTAGTCATGCCACGCAATGCCATGCGGGTACACGGATGGTGCGGAATCTTGTTACTTTTAGAGGTGGTGAAAGGGGGTTGAACAATTGTTACAGTATCATAGGATTTTCTTAATTGGGTGGGTAGCGTTGAGTTGTCAGTTTGGGGCTGCGCCGGGCTCCTCCACTCGTATGCTACGTTTCTGCAAAGACACGGTCTCGGGGCTTTTTTTTTTGCACTTCTTTTCTTCTTTTTGTCTAAAAGTACGATAGGGTAGTATTGTCGTGAAATCTACCAAGTATCGTGCCCAGGGCCGAACCTGATCGGATGGCCCCAGAATACCACCACCACTACTAGGCTGGCATAGGGAGAGAACAGAGATAAACTATCATACGGCCCACGCTAAACATTACTCATGATCTATCCCCCCCGCCAGCAACTGAATTAACTATACTCTTCGTCAGAAACACATCCTGGGAGAAGGGAGGAAACTGGGAGGGTGCTCGCGGAGGACGCCAGTATAAATTACTCACCCAACTAGTATACTGTGGATCAGTCATCTTACTTCTAACGACGTCGAGGCGTTCTGCAAATTAATCGCGTTGTTAGGAATTAGAGTTAGTACTCAAAGAATGAATATCATACCCTTTGTGCAGTAAACCAGGGGCCCAATCTGAGGGTCCTCTTCAAGTTCTTTAACGTAGCTTCTCGCATTACTACTATTGCCGACGAGACTTATTTGAAAGGCCGCCGCTAGAGTGGGGGAGGGGAGTGGGGGGTTTGTTAGTCTGAGGTTGTGGATTGGATGTTCGAGAGAGAAACAAACCTGACCCTCCATATAGCCCCTCGCCCGGCCCTTCTAACACATCGAGTTCCCTCTTGCAATCGCGTATGGTCTGTCCGAGTTGACCTCGGTCTTCATTTGATGGCTGTGCCCCCCCACTTTGTCAACTACCACCTCTCCATTAAACCAACGGGATGCCGGAGAACGAACCTCTCCATCGGTGATGATAGTGACGAATACGGGCCTCTTCAACGACTTCTCCTTCGCCTTCTGAATAATCAGCGGCTCTACAATCTTATCCCGAAGCACGGTTCCCAGTCTCGTCCCGCCCTTAGGTTTGACATCGCTGATAACCTGGTCTAGTCTCTTTCTGTCGTTGATCTCGTTGTAGCCCCCGTCCCCCTTAAAGTTTAGGAACTTGACGGAGATGCCCTCGTCCCGGAAGCCGGTGCACACATCTGAAATTTTCAAGACAGTTTTACGCATCATGTCGTATCGGCCGTCGGCCCTCATGGAACCCGAATCATCTATTCTAATCGTCAGCAGCTGTGGCCCCGGCAGGGGAGTGTGTGGGTGGATGTAAAGGAGTGTACCGCATAGAATGACGGTGTCGTAGAGCGCAATTTTGACCAGGTCAGGGAGTTGGTCATCAGCTACCCCCAGGTCGTCGCAGACCCGTCGTCCGGTTTCGGCGCATCGGCGAGCGAGTTTCTTCAAGAAGCGTCGCGCGGACTTGAAAAATGCGCCTAGCTTCTTCCTTATTATAATGCTTTGGGCATGGTTGAGGAAGTCTTCGGGTAGGGTGAGTCTCTACCATTGTGGGTTATGGTTGGTCAGTCAGGCAAGCACGGAAGGGAGGAGGTGGGGAGGACCGGAGAGCCATACAATGACAATGGACAATCTTTTGGCATTGCAATTCTCATTGGAGCACTCTTGATTGTTACTTCTCCCGCTGGTAATATTAACCCCCACCATTGTACACCTGCAGACTCCAGAAGCCAGGGAATTGTTTGAGTCCACTGCTTCGTCCGAGTCATCCGAGTCTACTTCATCTGAGTCCCCGCCCACATCCTCCTTGCCCTCCGGGCGAAACCCGTCCTCATCAATAAATCTCCGCGCAATACCCTTTAAGCGCCGGAAAGACATAGAATACACCTTTTTCGCATCTACCCCGGGAGGTAATTTAGATGAACATACATCTCCCAACTCTATCTCCACACCTCTCGTGGAAGGGGGCCCTGGAAGGATCCCCTATATATCCTCATTATTACCAGTCATCGGCCACCATGTAATGTATGGCGGTGGTGGAGAAATGGAAGAAACCATACCTCCTTCTGCCTCATGGCAAACTTTATCCCATCCGGCTGATCCCCCACATGCTCGTAAACTTCCAACTCACAACTCACCACCGCCGCCACAGTATCCAGAGACCACTTGAGTATAAGCACCTTCTTGACAGTCCCTTGCCCACGAGTCATGTAGTCGCGCATATCCTCGAGCATGTCCTCCCCCGTGTGAGACCAGCCGGACATTACAACCACTGTTGGTAACTTGATTCCCAATGGACGGAGGCAGACGTCCAGCACGCGCCGGCGGATCTTATCCGGCTCGTCGAAGGCTTGAGCCACTGGGTGGTTGTCAGGAGAGGTGGGGGAGGGGGGTTGAGGAAAAAAGGTAACACACCGGATCCACTCCACATTGTCAAAAACTCGACGTTCTCCATACCCACAAATCCGGATTGTAACATTTCGCTCCGCTCCGCAACGAGCCATTGCACGTGTGTGTCATTGTCGGTCGCGGTTCTAGAGCCTAGGTCGGCGGCTCTGCTTTGTACGCCTTCCATAGTGTCGGGAAGATGTTATTGGCCTCTTCAGGATAGGGATACGAGAAGGGAATGACAGCAAGGGTAATTGGATGTTTTCCGGGAAGGTTTGATCAGGTTATGTGTTGGTGTGGATGTGTGCGAAACACAGATATATACTGGGAGCGCTCGAGCATGATAAGGCTGTGGCGAAAATGATAAAAAAAAGAAATCCAATAAAAACTCAATGGATGGGCCTACCAATACAAAGAATGAAGTGGAGTAATCGGGGAGCGCAACCACCGTGGCCCGGAATTAGGCATGGTCAGTGTATATGCGTATGCACGTACTGTACCGTACAGTACACGTGTGAAGGCTTCACTCCTACTTGGAATACTACTGCGCATGAGTCTTTAGCGGGGTGGGAGAGAGTACTGTACTGTACTGTACTGCACCGGTAATATAGGCTGGCTGTGGAGGTGGGGTATGATATAATAACTCAGGCTTGGGATCGGCCGCATTCTCGGGATGGAGTCCTCACACCCGTGTGGTCTGTACATTTCAAGAAGTTTTGATGCACCAAATTTGCTCCCCTGATCTCTATGATAGCAATGTACAGTGCTATGACCGATCTGATAAAGGATCAGAAGTATAACACCAGAAGTGCTCGAGTATATATAGAGTGCTTTGTATAGAGAGCGGAAAGGCTCACCTTACCGCTTTCACCTGACATCATACAATTTATTAAGAACGTCCCAACTGGGCTTAGCCAACCATCAGCAAATCCGCCTTTCCACTTACGACTACAAGCACTGTACTGTGCAAGTACAGGGAGAGTATTATACTAATGGAAAAGACCACCACAAATGTTCCCGGATACCGGTTCTGTATGTACTTAGAGTACTGCACAGTACCTCAAGCAAGCAGGTGGAATTTTAGAATTACAACAGTCTGTACGGAGTCGACGAACGCAACTCGATTCGCGATTGGTAGAATATCCTTTCAACACTGCAGAATGCTTTGCCCCGATTGCCGGCATCCACCCATCACAACCCCACTGCGCACGAAAAAAAAATAGTGAGCAGAAACATGGGTTGCTGCCAGCATACCCCAGCGCCACCACGTATGCCCCCTCCTCCCCCGCATCCGTAACATTCTCTTACCGCGACTTGTTACCGTACCGTACAGCACTACACCATACCTCAACGACGGATCCGACAAATAAGTCATAATAGATATTGATCGAACGGCATGGATCCCTTCCGCTTCCGCCGACCACTTTAGATATGTAACTTAGTCCTTGTGACAATTCGCTCCACTGCATTACTCGGAAGGGTATGGGGAACCTTGCTGATGAGGCTGTACCCTACTTGTAAATAAAGATCCAGGTCCATGATATTATAAAAATATAAATTTTTTTTACGACCGGCGGTGATCGTGCCCGGGCAGGAATCTCACTCGAACGCTTTAATGCATCCTGATTTATGTGATGGCTGCCGACTGGGAAAGAAAGCACCTTTGATCTGTGCACGCGGGAAATCTGGAGAATGACGAACGGACACACCGCTGACATAGGACCAGCCGAATTGGAATCCACCGAAATGTCTTCACTAAAGTGATGTGATTCTCTTCGCTATATTGTACGGTAGTGGTCTCTGAGTGCTCCGGCTGATGCGATGGACTTTGTAACTTATTAGGTATGAGCCCTGGAATGCTAGGGCATGGTATTAATTATATCATAATATCACTAGGAGAGAGGGGATTGTATCAGTGAACCGCGATCCGCGGCAGGGTCCATCTCGTTGAGTACGGTTGGGTAAAAATTTCCGCCCCCCCCCCCTCCCCAATGCATTATCGTGGCGTATTGGCTTTTGAATAGCGATATGATATGATGACTTCCTGTAGTATCCCATTTTTGTTCCTGAATTTGTTTTTTCCCGCAGTCTGCTGTTTACTCGCCCCACTGGTAGAATTGTCTCTCACGGTGGTGGCAGACAAAAATGAATAAATCAAGGGACTAAGAGTTCCCCCTCCAGCACAGCAAAGCCGAGTCGCGGCCTACTCGAACTCCCTACAGGAGTGTGTACCAATTCCACCTATCTTTTACGCCACTTCAACAATGGAAGCCCTAAAAGAATTCCATCGCACATCGATAGAAGATGTCGCAAGAATTTGAACCGTTAGGCTTGCCGAGTGATTCACTATGATTACATAAACCGGGATGTTTTCACTTCACTCCACTTTAATTCACAAGCTACTGAAACATAAGAAGCAAAAAGGCATGGGGAAGGAAATAAAAGAGATATTGTTTTTATCTATCTATCTATCTCCCGAATTAAATTCAAAACCCATGACCCGTCTCCCTTCCACCACGTATCTTGATTCCTCCTATCTGCACGTGCCAGCCAGGTTCCCACATTCGAAACCTAAGAAACTGTGGTGGGGTTGGGGGAATAGTAAATGCAACGGTGGGAAAGTTGTAAGGAAAAGATACAAGGCAACAAAAAGAGAAAAGAGTCAGCGAGTAATGGATTGGTGAGATGTGTCTAAGGGAGACAATATCCACCCTGTATTCTAATTGTTAGAAGCTATCCGGGCAAAGCGCGGGAATCCAGTGTTCAAACTTACATCGATGATAACATCGGCACCCGTCATGAAAGAGCTTGCCGGGGATGCGAGGAATAGGGCTAGGTTATTAAGCTCGTCCTCGTGGCCAAGGCGCTTCAGAGGGGTCCGATCGCACCAGATGGCCTTCTGGGCATCTAGTCCCGGGGATCTATTAAGCTCAGTATCCATGTACCCTGGAGAAATCGAATCTGTGCAGTTTTTGTTGGTTGTTAGATTTGTAGGTGATAGTGGATTTTTTTTTTCAGGGCGTAGGAAGATACTCACTGACACGAATGCCATACTTGGACCATTCGAGGGCGAGGGAGGCTCCGAGGTGTCTAACAGCTGCCTTTGAGGCGTTATAACAGCATTGTTCCTGAGGGAAATTGACAATGTGCGAAGACATGGAAGCCACCAATATAATGGATCCTCCAGTGCCCTGTTTTATCATCTGCTTTCCTGCCTCCTGAGAACACTTCATAAGACCATTGACGTTGATGTCCATAAGACGGCGGAAACGGGTCATGGAGTAAGTCTCAGCTGGCATATTAGAACTGTCAAACAAGCATCACAAAGAGTTGTCAACATATTAGCAAAAACAAATAAAGAAGGTATAGGTGTCACGCACTCTGCAATTCCGGCAGCACAGAGCAGCACATCAATACTACCCAAATCCTTACAGATCCGGCTAAACACCTTCTCAACAGACTCGTCGTTGGTAATGTCAACCTTGTAAAACAATACCAGGGTATTGTAATGCTTGCACAGCGCCCCGGCAGCTGCATCCCCCTCAGTCTCAAGAATGTCAAGAATAGCAACACCTCGAGCGCCAGCCTGAAGGAAACCTTCGACCATATTATAGCCTAGTCCGCGAGCTCCCCTGATGAATCACCATAGTTTAGTTGAGAATTAACGGGTGTAGTAGGTGGATAGATGGGCTGGTATATGGATATATATTTATTGATGAATTGATAGAGGAACAGTATGCTTACCCAGTAACAACACAAACTTTACCGACAAGAGAGAAATTGCGGATAATCTTAGGAAGACGCGCCGTCTTTACCCCTCCCTCAAGTTTTAGATCTCCAATAGAATTGGATCTGACACGGCCATCCACAAGATCATGCGTGAGAGTAACCTCGACCAGGTTGTCATCACAAGGAACACCAATAGAGGAATCAGAGATATCGTCGGCCAAGTTGTCGCAGTTGCAGGTAGTACAAATATGCTCATCATAGCAAGGCATCTTTACTAGTGAAAAGCAATTTCTTGACGTGTGAAACGGAACCCTGTTGTGCGGATTGAAGGGGGAGTGTTGCGTTACTGGGGGGGGGAAGGAAAGGAAAGGGAGAAGAAAGGGAGGAATAAATAAGAGGAGGGAGGAGACTAGATTCAGTTAGGTCTGATTCGAGGACAGAAAATCACGAGCAATCGTGTAAAACTCGTCCGGGTAGGGTTTCCTTAGCGCCTCACCATCCTCTATTTCTGACAAGGGATAGTGATGAATCAAAAGGAAAGGATATGTAGTCTCAAGTTGACTGTGTGTTTTGTATGAAGGCCCGGATGTCCACCCACTATAAGCTTTCAAGCAGAGGGTACCGATTGATAGCTTATGACTAGAATAGGGCGACTTACAATTCAACTTTAGACTGCACTTGTAAATTACCAGATTCAAGTAAACCGAAACTTAGGGGCTGTTTGGCGCCAGCAGTTGATAAATTCAAAATGCATTTTGGGCCCAAAACACATTTTCAATTTATGAAGTGTTTGGTAGGATGTAAATTGCTAAATGTATTTTGTATAAATTGTGAAATGCGTTTTGGAAGTCTCAAAATAATAGAATTCTCTAAAATAATATGCTTATATTATTCCTGTACTATGAAAGATTAATTAAATATTAGTTGACTATAATATTGAGAAGAATATAGTATAGAAAATTATTTTACAAATTCTCCCATGATAAAGAAGATATCATTGTTATTTAAGTCAAATTGTGTAATTGAACTTCAAGTTTATTCCTGGTATTTAGATCTCTTTATCTTTGTCATTGTTATGATATTTACAGTACTGAATTCAATATAAGTACTCTCTCCTGTTTTATCTATTTTATCAAATCTTTCTATACTTAATCTCATACTATTATAATTAGTTTTGCTTATTTGAATAATGTTGTTGACTTTTCAAGTGTTATTTAAAGTCTTGAACTTTACTTCTATAATTATTATTATTTAAAGTGCTATTATGTTTTTATCTTAGTTGTTTAGATCTATTTTATAAATAGTCTTTTTTTAATTTAGCTATCTATTTTCTGCAGTATTGAACATTATACAATTACAGTTCCATCAGATTAATAGTAAAGAACAGCTTATTAAGAGTAATTGTATTTTATTATAACTATTGTTGTTAATTATCTATAGTTTATATTACTATATTACTATAGTATATGTAAAAGAAGTCTATACTTTCTCTACTTTAAAATACTTTTATAAGTATAATTATACACATTGTTGTTAACTTCAAATTCATTCATTTCTGATTACTATATACCACTACTCTTCTTACAAGCAATATTCATCTTCCATATCTTAAATGATAGTAGTATTTATACTTTAATAAGGCCTCAAAGCAGTTTGGACCGAAATTGTAGACAATCAACTTATTGATAAAATACTGAACCAGTATCAGAAGTGAAGAAAATGGGATAATGCCTTCAGAAAAGAAGTTTGGCATGAAACAATATTCAAATTCAACAAGATAAATAAGGAAACTCAAACTCTAGAGCAAATAAAAAACAGGTGTCAAGTTGTAAGTATCTTATTAATTATAACAGTTTTATAAATACTAAAAGTATAGTATGAGCAGTTCAAAAAGAAAACCTGAAATTTCATATTTTTCAAATCCTTAAGGCTCTACAACCATAAGTATAATTGCAAAAAAAAACCTGTTTCTTAAAGATCTGATGAAGGAGAATACAAAACAGGTATTCTTTTATCAATTATACTTGAAGTTGTAGAGCCTTAAGGATTTCAAAACTTAGATTTTTAGTAGAGAAGACAAAAAAGTATTATATTTAGCCACACTTGATTGACTTATTAAATACAAATTTATTTCAGAAAATCTTAGTTTTAAATTAATTTAATGATTAATAACTAATTGTAATGTGTTCATGCTGGGGTGCTAGTCACGTTGTCAAGTATCATACAATAGGAGTAGAATGCTAATCTACTGGAGAATAATGATTCTAGGCTTCCTAAGGGAGGCTTTGGTGGTGTAGTAGGAAAATAAAGATAACTGTTCAATTGAGTATATTAGAATACTGTCTGTCAAAGTCTGCCATTTCCAGAGTGGAAGACAGCGGTCATTTTAAGTACATGTATTTGAGTACAATTATGAATTCTCACTCATGTTCTTACTCATTCAAACTGTAAAAATAACCAAGTATCAACTGATACTTAAAACAAGACGTAAAACAAACTAAGTATCAATTGATACTTAAAACAAAACATAAAACAAACTAAGTATCAACTGATACTTAAAATAAAACATAAAACAAACTAAGTATCAACTGATACTTAAAACAAGATATAAAACAAACTAAGTATTAACTGATAATTAAAACAAAACATAAAACAAACTAAGTATCTGAGCACCAGCTCCGGTTACATTTTCCAAAACAAAACAAATTCTCAATAAACAAACCAATGAGATTCCCAGAAAATAAACCCTAATAAATTTTTTCTACTCTTGGCCAAATGGGGAAAGAAGGGAAAGCCCAGCTTCACTTAGCTTGTTGTTATCCACAAAACTCAATCAGTACTGGCAGTTGTAAAAACATGCCAGCCCTCTAATATATTCTTCTCCCAGGTCTGGCCTGGTACACATTCTGCATGTATAGGAGGTAAAAAAAGTCGGGGCATGTTGCAAATGATGAGATGCTCTCCTGAGCGACTTCTACCATTTATTTGTAACTCTGCAATCTATTTGGTTACGTCCAAGGCAACAGAATATGTAGATTAGTTTCCGTCTTTGTAGCTCAGGTATGTTGCTGAGGTGCCTAAAGTTCAGGAGCTAGAGGTAGGAGTCTCTTTGGCTAAGCCTCGTGAAGTCAGAATTGTGCATGGTGTGAGGGTGCCAGGGGATGTGCTAATGTAGGTAGGTATGTCTAGCAGGGGGTGTAGTAGTCAAGGTGTGAAGGGTACAAATAGGAGTTTTCTTGAGGTATGGTGGGAGGTTGTCTGTTCTGTCATTATTCAGGTGCTGAGTGTACCATTTTATATGCTTCTGAATCTCATTTGTCAGGTACGTAGGTTCTGTACAGGGGTATCGGTATGTGTGGGTCTCACTTATATTCCTGAGGGTGTGTGGATTTTCTGTAGGGGTAAGTGTATATGTGTGTTTCACTTATATTTCTGAGAGTGTGTGAGTTTCGTGGAGGAGTGAGTGTGTATGTGTGTCTTGCTTATATTTCTGAGAGTGTGGGTGATTCTGAGTCTTGTCCTGTTTCGACTCCTAACAAGAATTCATAGTCACTGTAGGGTGCCCAGAAGCCTTTTGGCGTCTATGGGGTAAATTCTCATTGGTTTACTTCTGGTATCATTGGTACCCAGCACACTGTTATTTTGTGGATAATTAGTGGGTCTTCTTCCTTATTGTTAGTCTACCATTCATGAATTCAACTGGCCGCATTTCCTAGTCCTTTGACTGGTTTTCAACTGTTTTCACTTGGAGGGTATTCCTTCTACTTAATCAAGAATTCATCCCTATTGTATCATTGCTGATGGTCCAAGATTTCCTCAACTTCCCACTTCAGGTGTTCATTTACTAGTATTGGTGCTGGCTTTACATGGGCACATCCAGGGAATTTCGCATCATTATTTGGTAGATACCTTTTTATTGAGCTTACATGGAAGATACCTTCTGGTCATCAGTACACTTTTGTGTCCATTTCTACTGTGTAATTTTCTGTGTACTCATCAAATCCAATTACTGTAAAGGGGCCTCTCTATATGGGTTCTAGTTTTTTGCTTCTTCCTGACTGTGTTATGAACTGGCTTCCATATACTAGAACCTGTTGCCTGATTGGTATTCATTTATGTATTCTGTGCCCTTTTGGTGGCTTTTCGCATTGATCGGAATTGTGCCAGTTGGAGGTTCTGGTATACCAAGTTTCTTATTTCTTGGTGCCCATTAAAAAATTTGTCAGAGGCCAGTACTGACAATTTTCCAAACCGGAGGGTTTTCATTATTGGGTATTCCTTTCCATATACTATCACATATGGTAAGAAGCCATAGGTTTTCATGTATGATCCATTTATGTGTGCTGCTACCTCAGCCAGTATTGGTTTCTAGTTATTCTGTCCCTTGTTTGTGATATTTGATATTACTGTTTTCAGCTCTCTGGTTTGTTATTCCACCTGGTTGTTTAGTTCATGGTGTCCGGATTGGGCACAGAAGTGTTCAATATCAAGGGACTTACACTATTGTTGCTAAAATTTAGAAGTGAACTATGGGTCTGCATCGGTTACTATGGAACATGGGTACCTATGCAGGATGTATACATGTTCCGTTAATTCTATAATAGTTTGCTCTGTTATATCTGTTGATTTGGTAGGTATAAACCAGGTCCATGTGCTTAGTCTATTCATGACTACAATGATTATGTCGTATTTGTCTGATTTGTTGAATGGTTCTGCAAAGTCAATAGCGATTGATTTGAATTCTTCTGCTAGTATAGGCAGTGTTTTTGCAGAGTCTTCAGGGAGCTGGGTTTGAGGTTTGTTGGTTTGACATGTATTGTACTGTGTTATATACTGGTATAAATTGTTGCTCATCTGTGGCCAGAAGAAATAACCAGTTGTGTAGTGGAGGATTCTCTGAGTCTTTGTACTATAGTGTCCATTGTTATAGATATGTCTTATGATGTATCCCTATAATGTTTCCTTATTCTCTATATAACTATTAGGGATGTACAAACACCATAATCTATACCGTGTTGGCGAATAGACTAATCCATCATTGACTTCATAGAGGTTGAGGTCCGTTGATCCTCCGCTAAGTAATTTATCCAACAGTGGATCACTTCGGTAGCCTTTTATCATTTGTTGTCTTAAGTTATTTTCTATCTTTTTGCATATCTGAAAGGTAGCTTGTTCCTCCTCGATTTCTGTATTTCTATTTGTTATGCATGTGGGTATAATATCCTCTGTGAAGAGTTCGTGTAGGTTCCTCCTGTAGTGGTCCATTGCTGGTAGTATAAACAATTCAATTACTTTGTGAGCTTACATATCTGATCCCTTCTCATTCTAGATAGGTACAGTTCCATAGTTGTACCACTTCTTTGGAGGTAGAGTAGTGGACTACTGGGCAGTTCCTCGATCGGTATTTTCAATCTTGAGGGATTGACTCATGTTGAGAGAAAGGGTGGCATATGGTTGGTTGTTGGATTAGTTGAGGCATGTCAGCTTCAGATGTGAGGTGTTGCATTTCTGATATGGTTTCCTCATCAGGGGTATCATAGGACGTTCCTGACCGATGAGATCTTGTGTTAAGAATCCTACCGGGCATAGAGGGAGTGTGACATGTAATGATTCTTACGTCAGTACGAGGCAATAGTTCTTAGGCCATTGTCTACGCGCCATTGATAGTCTAGTCCCTTGACTTCTATCTTGTCACATCTATTCCTCTAATCTTCTTAAGTTCTTGTATAGAACTTATTCTCGTATTGTGGGAGGAAAGATAGTTTCCAGGTTCTTAAAGTAGAGCAGAGAGCATAAAGATGTTTTATTACAAAATAATAGGTGTAGGCCTGGGATTCAATGTAAATTTATTTATCCTAGTCACACCAATCTGGCTTATAACTAGCTAACCAACAAAAATCGCAACTATCAGCAAAACCAATCCTGCAGCCACTCTATCTAAACATAAATTCAAACAAAATTAACACCAAAATCAAATAACCAACAGGCTCACTGGTGCTCATGTTACAAGTGACATCCAGGATTAATGCGTCTTCTTGTCCTGCAAAACACCTAATCATCCCCATCATCACACACGGCCACATCAGCAGCAGGGTCAGCAATTTCACTCTCAACATACTCCATAAATGAAAGAAACAACCTTTCCCAACATTGTCGAGTACTTCTCCATTGTACGCTTATACCAACAGGAGATCCAAACTGCCGCTTACAAAACACAAATTGACCACTATTCTGCAAACCGTAACCTCATACCCAAGTAACTACTCAACCAACTTGTTACTCGAATGGTAACTGATCCCATGAGTCCCAAGTCTTCCGCCAAAACAAGCTCATACAGTAATCCAAACAGGCCGAACTGCCAGCAAAATGATCAGCAAATGTTTCCACATGTCATATGGTACCTATCATGTTTTGTATCA